CTCCCCCCCCCCTCTCTCTCCTCTCTCTCTGTCATGTGAGGATACAGTAAGAAAGTGCCACTACAAACCAGGAAGTGGGCCTCCCCAGACATTGAGTCTCCTGGCACCTTGATCTTGGAGTTCTCAGACTCCAGCACTGTGAGACATAAATGTTTATTGTTTAAGGCACCCAGTCTATGGTAGTTTGTTAAAGAAGCCCAAGCAGACTAATATAGTGTCTTAGTCTTAATATGAGACACTTAAGTGCAGCTAGCTAGAGAGTAAAGAGATACAAAGATCTGGAATTAGGAGAGGTTTGTGGGACAGAAAATAGGATCTGGAAACTTTAGGCATGTAGGTGGAATTTGAGGCCACAGGAGAGGAGGACCTCACTGTGTGAAGTACATAAAGGGAGGAAAGAGAAGAGTCTGCATCAGAATTTTGAGGGATCCCAACATTTAAGAGAGGAGTGGAGGAAAAGAGGTCTCCAAAGATTGAGGTGAAATGGCAAGAGAGAAGTTACTAAAGAGACTGGTGTCAAAGAAAGAATGATCAATGACAAATTCTTTGACATATCAAGTAAGACAGACAATAGATCACTACAATACTTATTGAGAGGGAGTAAAGGCCAGACTGCAGTGAGCTGAGAAGAAAAATGAGAGGTATGCCACGGAGGATCAAAGAGTTGAGCTGATTCAGAATTTTGACCAGGAGTGAGAATTATTTGCAGATAGAAGAAGCATTATTGTAGGTTTTGATTCAGAGTCACATAGTCACGGATTCAAATTCCAGCTGTACCTCTGGTTGACCTCCATTAAATTCCTTCTCTAAGTAGTTGTTTTATTATCTTTAAAATAAGGGTAGTCATTTCAACCTCTGGAATTTTTGAGACTGTTCACAATTATGCTTATCAAGTGACTGGAACATAGCTCAAAATTATGGTGGTCATAGTAATAAGAGCTATGGTAGTAGTTGTAGATATTATGAGAAAAGATAATATATTTTCTTTTTAAATATTGTAGGCTCAAGTTTCGATTTTAAAGGAGAAACAGCTAATAATAGAGAAAGATTTAAGACAGGAGAGAAGAATTGGTAGACTAAGAAATCCAAGGAAACAAGAAAACGCATTTGGATTATAAATAGAATTAGCTTGGAACTGGAGGCTAGATACATATGGATGCAATGAGTCTTATGGGTATTTGAGAAAGGACAAGAATTTTATACATTCTGTCTACAGTTCAGAAACCATTTTCTTAACTCCTATTACATTCTAGACACTGGGTACAATGGAGAAAAACCTCTCTTAAACCTGATCCTTCTCTAGTGTTCCCTATCTCAGTGAGTAATGCCATGCTCACTAGTTGCCCTGCCCCAAACCTGGAAATCATTCTTTTCTTTTGATGCACTCTCTCACACCACACCTAGGCAGCAACAAACTCCTTTCAGCTTTATCGTCTAGATCTTCCTCTAAAACTCACCCCCTCTTTCCCATCCTCTACTATGGCTTCAGTATAGTTCAGCCATTCAGTATAGGAGGCTCCAGTGACCATACAACTAGTTTTCCTGCCTCCAGTCTTGCCCCAGCTCTAATCCATTTCCCACTCTGTTGCCTGAACGGTCTTTCAGAATCATGTTACCCATTTCCCCTTAACAGCTTTCAGTGGCCACTCACATGGTACTTTATGATCTGGTCCTTGAGCCTCATCCAAGCCTTCCTCTTTCTTCATCCAGACAAACTCTTCTACAGTTCCCAAATGGCCCATTGACTCTCAGGCCTGCTATTTTGTATAAAATGTTTGCTTTGTTTTAGAATACTCTTCTCTTCCTTCTTTACCTATTGAAATCCTATGTAGCCTCTAATACCCAGGCTACATATTACATTCTCTCCTGAAACTTTCCCTGACCCACCTTAGAACCCACAAGTCTGGCTTAGGTTCCCCTTTCACACAGGGACTGTCACTTTAGTATCTCTATATTCCAGACCCCAGAAGAGGCCCTGGCCTATAGTCGGTGTATAATACATAAATATTGAATGACTATGCTTTCAATAGTCTGGCGCATATATATGTACGCGTGTGTATGTATATACACATACATATATATCTCAAATGTAAGTAAATTTAAATGATAGGATTATAATTATCCTATTATTATAGGATAAATATTAGAACTGGCTCACTCCATTATGATAAAGAGAAAACATTTTTACCTAATGGCAAATGAGGTAAACATCTTAAATACCTTGAAAAGCAAGGCTCGATGGTAGAAGATTCCTTTTTTGATCTGTCCAATTGGTACAACATTGGATTTAAGTTGAAATTTGAGTTCACTTATATGAAGTTCCCAGCTGAAATCCTGTAGTTTCTCTTTTGGAATTTTACCTCCCATTTTTTCTGCCACATACCTGTGTCAATCACATTGAGATCAAATCAATCAAGGTAATGTATCACTTTGGATGCTTTGAGGGTAACTCTATGTATAATTATATGGAGTTATAACTATATAAAAATTATACTGTCTCAGATTTTTATTGTTTAACTTTTAAAAATGCACTTACTGTACATAGGTTAACGTTATGCTTACTGTATTCAAAGTATCACATATAAACTGAAATTCTAACAATACCATTCAACACAAGAAATGAAATGAATGCTCATTTCCCCAAAACTTATAAGAAGATACAAATAAATATCACACTAAATTTGTGTCAATGCAGTTTTAAAATTTTATCTTACTCTTGAAAAGTATTTTTAAATGTTTCAATCTGAAATTGAAGGCATTGTAGTAACATATGCTCCTTCTTTTAAGAAATTTAAACTCAGAGATAAGACAGACACATAGGAAAATTTTCTATTAGATTCACAAATATTTTCAAGTTTTATAATTTTTTTCTTTTAAATTTTATTTATTTTTTTAATTTAGAGAAAGACATGGAATTTATGTAACACTGAAGTTAGAGGAGCGAGGAAGAGGCAAAGAGGCAAAAATAAGTAACAGTTAGGTGAGGAGGCAGGATGGAGGTGGTATACTTTGCCTATGGCTTTCTCAATGCTAGGATCTCACTGAAGAAGTCAGTAAACGCACCTGCAAAAATCTTCTGTAGACTAAGGCTACCACATCTTAGAGTAAAACAGAATTGCAAATTTTAAGGAAAGAATTTCCTCGTGCTGTATGTGGAACCAAGCAAGAACAATGCTGAAAACCAAGAGAAAGGTTAGGGAGCAAGCTACTGACCTGACCCACAGTTACACCTGGCCAAGTGTGTTATAATGAAAGCTGGCAACCAAAGGCATGGGGACAAATCTCTGTATCTCTATCTTGGTGTGGGCTCAGGTTAAAAAAAACCACCACAATTATTTGGGAATGATGAAAATTATTTCTGATAGGAACAAGGCATGAGGAAATTTGACAAATGTTGAAATGAGCTATGAGAGCTCTGCCTGAGTCATCAGTTCTCAAGAACATCAGAGAAATTTGGGTAGCCAAAAATGTTCTCTTCCAATTCTGGCTGACAAGAAGTCAATGATCTGGTGGCTGTGTTTCTTGCAGTTGTCACATTCAGGTTTGATGATTACAGCTCACCTATATTTGGAGTAGATACGAGCTCCCATGGAGACCACAGCTACTGCATAACCCAGTGGCTCAGCTCCTGGTTGGTGTTAGTCATGAAGGCTAGCCTCCATTTCTAGTGATTCCTAATCCCTCACAGCTACCAAATCAAGGTCTCGGCTTCTCTTAGTGAAATCAGAATAATCCCTCTAATTAAGAAGGCAACTTCACAGGTTATACAGAGCACGGAGCCTGCCTAAACAGCCACCTCTTAGAATATTCATGCTCCCACTTTAGAACAATGTGAAACACATAACATAAAAATAGGGGATGGTTATCTGTATTAGAAAATAATTTGTGAATTTACAAATAATTCGCAATAAGATTTCTTTAAAATGTGAGCACCCCATATACCCAAGGAATGGTTTAATTTTCAAACTTTTGATTCATTCATAACTTTTACAGGATCACATTGAAATATGATTTTCATGGTTTAGCTGGAGAAAATGACATAGGCATTTTTTGCCTGTTTTTATTTTTTAAATTAATTTATATTTTTAGTAAAGTATAGTTAGCATATGCATAGGCATTTATTTTATTTTATTTTATTTTTTAATTAAAATTTATTGGGGCGACAATGATCAACAAAACTACATAGGTTTCAAGTGTACAATTCTATAATACATCATCTATATATTGCGTTATGTGTTTACCACCTAGAGTCAGTTCTCCTTTCATTACCATATATTTGACCAGCATTTTTCTTTAAGCAATTTTCAGTGCCAGTTCTGATTCTTGGCAGAAGTATGATTTAAAATAGAATTGAGAATTTTTTCAATTCATTGTGTTTATGCTTCAGAGTCAGAGGTAGGAAGCTATCAAGTTCAGTTTTATTATGGTGCAGTTGTATGAAAATTGGCTAAAAAATGCAAACCACTAAAATAAAACATATTCTTCAGAAATTAAAAATGTGTATGTATATATAGACAACTTACTCTGCGAGAGCTTCAATCTGTTCCTTTATATTGGTTATGGGAAGTACTGATCTGGTCACTTCATACACATAAACAGAGAAGTCAGGATCAGAGGGAGGGAACCATTCTTTATCAGGGCTTCCTTCTCCAATGCCTTTTGCTACTGTGGTAACATCTTCCTCCTCCTTCACTTTTTCCTCTTCTTTTTTTCCTCTGACTTTCCTTTAAGAGTAAACAGCAATCAAAATCACAAAGTGAATAAGCACTAACTGTGCTCTGAGTTAATCTGAAGAACATCCCAGAAATACACTGTTTATACCACAACAATCGTACCATACATAGTTTTCAAATTTTCAATGACAATGATAGAGTTTTAGAGTCTGTATATTTTTTAGGAGAAATTAATTTTCAAGAGAACACTGCATGATTGATATATATTATGAAAATCATATATTGATCTTCTGCACAATTGCTTAGTAAGATGTCTGGCCCATCGTAGGTATGTAATAAATATTTATTGAGTTGGAAAAAAATAGGTTGCCTCCTCAGGGAAGTCTATATCAGTCTTATATCACCTCTTGCTTTAGTTGAGACCTTCTGCAGAAAGAATTTGGTTCACAAATTTTAAGAAAAATTCCCCCAAAACAGAGAAAAAAGCAAAACAAAACAAGGATGGAATGGAATTTCCATGTCATGCAGGGACAAAGATCACCAAAAGTTTATCTAGAGGAATGTACTTAGTTCTGTACTTAAGAAAAATGGAGTGTACTTAGTAAACAATAAAGATAATACTGTTTAATTAAAAGATAGTATTAATTAAAAGTTCTAGACATAGAGAAATTATTAGTTAACATGTAGATTTTTGTTTAGTAGAGGTGCAAATTATTTCTGTTCAGTGGAAAAGATACTCCCAAAAGTTATAGTTTATTGTCCTGTAGGATGTTAACCACCCTACTGGATTTTTTTTTTGATTTTTTTTAATGTAACTTGGCAGTCTTTTCCTAATATTCTTTAATTAAATATTTAGCTTCTCAAATGTTCTTTGAACCAGTGTTAACATATTACTGATTCTCTCATTAATTAATGAGTTGAACAAAAACAATGGCCTGAGTTCTTTTTCCAGGTGACATGGAGTAAGCACATTTTACCCTGTTTCTGTCACTAAATACAGTCATAAAACCTGGATAGGATGCATTCAACAGCTATCTGAGGACTCTACAAAGTAATTAGTAGCAGGAATATCAGAAAAGATATTGAATTACTACTGAACTTCTGGTGAGTTTAACTTTTTATTTTTGTCCACTATTCCCCAAGCTGAACTCAAAATAGCTCCAAATTTGAAAGTGGGCATCAGCACAGACAAAGCTCAAGGAGACCTCTAGAGAAACAGGAAACAGAGTGGACAAAAGCCTCATTCCTCCCACTCTTAATGTCCCTCATTCTCTTATGACCCAGCCCCTAAGGAATCCTGTGACAGTGGAGGCAGTGGCGACATTGAGGTCCTAAGAGCCGAAAACTGCCTTATTATACTTGCTCAGTCCTCCTGCTGTTTGGCTGTAGATATGGATGCAGTCATGCCAAGAGTGTAACAGGGCAGGGTAAATAAAATTTTTGGCTTGAGGACCTAAAGGGAAGCGCCAAGGAACCAGAAAAGACAAGGGAGATCATGGAGAGAAAGGAGCTCAGGAAACCAATCCTATAAATTTGTTTATAAATTCATAGGCTTACTTCCAAGCTATGTGTGCTGACCCTAAGCAGCACATACATAGATTTTGAGGATGGAACTATGGGATAGACCTCTGCCTAAGTCCCAAATTGCACAGTAGTTGGCACACATGCAGGAATGATCCAAATAGCACTGCAAAGCCTTTGAAAACAGGATTGACAGTGGAATGACAACCCACAGAACACTGGTTGGAATTTGATGACTGAAAGAAACTGGACTAATTAGCTGCTAGAACACACACACACACACACACACACACACACACACACACACACACAAGCTCGAACATTTTTTTAGAATGTATAAAAGACCCATAAATAAGAATTATAGGACTTATAAAATTATATTACAACCTAATTACTCAGCATACAAAGAGCCAGGAAAATCTCAACTCATGGGAAAAGACAATTAGTAGACATCAATGCCAAGATGACACAGATGTAAAGTGATCCAACAAGTTAGGTCAAACACTCTTGAAATGAATACAAAGTTGGAAAGTCTTAGAAAGAACTAGAAATAAAAATAGAATTTTGGAGCTAAAAATACAAAAAGTAAAATAGAAGAAAAACAACTCTCTGAATGGGTTTAATAGCAGAATGGAGATAACATAAGAAAAATCCATGAACTTGAAGATAGGTCAATAAAAATTATCCAATCTGAACAACATAAAGAACAAAAGATTGAAGAAGCAATTGGCAGAGTGTCAGGGACTTGTGGTGCAATTAAAAAAGGATCTAATATTGGTATCATCAAAGACTCAGAAGAAGGGGAGAAAGGATGAAGTAAAGAAAAAAATATTGACTAAATTAGGGCTGAGATGGTTTCCTCAATTTGACTCAAGACATAAATCTACATAGTCAAGAATTTTCATAAATGTCAATAAGGTAAACCCAAAGAATTCCACTCCCAGACACATCAAAATCAAACTATTGAAAATGAAAGACAAAACAGATGACAGGATTGTCTAACTAGAAAATCTCAAGGAATCTACCAAAAACACCCTCCTACAACTAAAAGGTGAGTTCAGCAAGGTTTCAACACACAAAATCAATTGTGTTTCTATATAGTAACAACAAACATATGGAAACCAAAAAAATTTTGGAGCACTTACAATTGCTCCAAGAAAATTAAATGCTTAGGTATAAACTCTATAAAATAAGTAGAAGTTCTGTGTGCTGAATATTAAACACACTGTCAAAAGCAATCAAAGAAGATTAAAGATAAATACATGATGAGACACACTGTGTTCATGGATTTTTAAAGTTGCAACATATTAGAGATGTCAATTCTGCCCCAAGTGATTTCTAGGTTTCATGTAACTCCCATCAAAATCCAAGCGGAGATTTTTATAAACATAAAAAAACTTATTCTAAAATGTATATGGAAAGGCACAGGCCCTAGAATAGTTAAATCAATCTTGACAAAGAAGAATTAAGTGGGAAGAATCATGCTAGTTGATATCAAGGCTTACTAGATAGCTACAGTAATCCAAACAGAGTGATAATGGTGGAGGGACAGACACACAGATGAATGCAACAGAACGGAAGACCCAGAAATAGACCCACTAATATGCTCAACTGATTATTGACAAAAGTATAAAAGCAATTCAATTAAAGAAGTATAGCCTTTTCAGCAAATGGTGCTAGAGCAATTAGACATGAAGGATCCTTGTGGTGATAGAACTATTCATTATCTTAATTGTAGTCATAGATACATGACCCTACAGATGTGATAAAATTGTACAGAACTAAACATACACACATGTAGAAGTAAAACTGGGGGGGGGAACCTGAATAAAATCATTGGATTGTATCAATCTCAAGATACAATCTAATTTAAAATCTCTAAGCAAAAATTAGTATTTCCCGGTTATATCATCCTAACCTCTCCTTTTTTGAAAGATAAATAAACTGAGCATATTCACCTACATAGAAGATTTTTGTAAGTTAAAAACCAACATTAGAAGGTCAATTAGAATGGCGGAAAGCATAGATAGGTTTACCTGCTTTCTATATTTACAGGGTAGCTTTATAAGATTGGAGAGCTTGACCCTCTGATGACACAGAGCCACCTATAAATCTAAAACTAAGCAGGTGTATTTCTCACTGGGTGTGCTGCCTGAAGTAAGAGGAATCATTTGGCACATAGAAGATGCTATCCAGTACACTGGGCTAAGCACATCGGGGAGGGCAATCTCATTGAGTGATGAAAAAAAGATAATTTACTGGAACTCCTGAATTGTAGTTTCCTGCTGCTATAAATAGAAGTATTTCATTTGGACTCCTTTCCCATGAAGGCTGCCAAGTTGTGGTAACGAGGGCTTCAACACTCACATGAATTTCATTTCTAAATAAATATGGAAACAAGCACTTGGAAAATACAAAATTAACTCCTGTAAAATTAATCCTCAGAAAGAATATCAATTTATGATTAAAGATAGCAGAGCTTTTACCTTTCTTGCAGATACTTTAGCAAAACTACCTCAGAAAACACAGATTTATTGTGTGAATCCAAAACAATAAGGATATTCTATGTTCATAGGAGAATGAGTAGGTAAGTAGGCAAGTAGAGAGAGATTTGTCTGGTCCCAAATGGTGTACTGACATTTTCAAAGTTTAATCACCTGCTCCTTTTTGATATCATCAACTATGTGAATATTTAAATTATAGGGCAAGGCTGGAGGGAGAAGTATAAGTCAAGAATCCAACCCACTTGGGGTTTCATTATAGGATGGAAAAATTTGGTATATGAAAAACAATCACAATACCAAGTAGCGTGCAGTAAATTCCACGAGTGATAAAAATAAGGAATTCAAGGAGTTTAATGTAAAAAAAAATCTATTGGGTGTCCTAGTCTACCCAATCTATTCTAAAAGGATGAGAAGCGGGTATTGTACAAAGTGGAGACATGATTTATTGTGGGCTTAGGAGGGTACATAGTATGCGTGTGTGTGTGTGTGTGTGTGTGTGTGTGTGTGCGCGCGCGTGCGTGCGCATGCATGTGTGTGTATGTACGTAGTTTATTTTGTTTGTTGTCTGTCTCCCTGCTAGTTCTATGAGGGCAGAAGTTTTTGCTCACTGCTATATCTCCCACACTGGAACAATTCCTGAAACCTAGTAGATGCTCAGTAAGTATTTGCTTTTTCCATTTTACTGACGGGGAAACTCGAGCAAAGAGAAGGTAACTTATTTGCTCAAGACATAGTTTATAAGTATGTACCTTGTCCAAAATAACCCGTTTCCTGCAAAAGCTCAGATTTCTGTTCTCCTGAATGAATGCGAATGTCTACATATGTCAACCAAGCACTGTGCTAAATACTGGGGATGAAAAGAGAAATTATTCCAATTTGCACATGTTTTTGTCCTCAAGGAGTTCGGAGTCTGGAAGAGGAGAAGCACAGACAGGCCACAGGAGGAAAGGAAGGGAAGGGGTGAGAAAGAAAAGGGAGGGGAAGTGGGGAAGAGCAGAAAGTGTCAGGGCTGGAACAATAGCAGCAGATCAGAAGCAGAGATCAGAATAATGAGCAACAGAGACTGACAATAAGAAATAAAGTCAGAAATAGAAAATAAACAGCTCTGAGGTTTGAGGAAGAGAACAAACCACTGCCCACACCTTACGAGACCTTAGGGGACAGTCTCAGTTTAGAAAGTGGATACTCAATATATGGGTCAAATGGCCTCCAATACCACAGTGGTTCTGGAGGGCTAAAGTCAACAATAATTAAAGGGTCTTGGCATGTGACAGGAGGTCCAGGTGGTTTTTGGAAGAATCCAAGAAAGTGCTCACAAGAGAAATAATATGTTTAAAATTATGTAAACAAGTAGAAAGATGTCTAAAATATGCCAGGCCTAAAAAGCAACGAAACCACATTGTAATTGTTCAACCAAGTAAAAACTTGGTCTTGTTACCCTTGTCTCCCTCTTGTGGCCTCAAGAGGGTCAGGGATTTCAGCGAGCCAGGTGGGGAGGGGGTGTGAAAGCATAATGCAGGGAAAGAGAGGACTAGACTGCAGCCCGAGTGTGTCACCACCGGCAAAGGCAGCCACCGGAGGAGGACAGAAAAGTTCATTTTAAGTTGATTACTGCACAGGGTTGGATTTTTAAATGACTAACTAGAGACCTGTTTCCATTGTCATCTTTGAATTAAAGTTGACTGTAGGACTTCATAGTGATCGAAATGACCTGAGTTCTCATCCAGAGGCAGGACAAGAGATTCCCTCTGGGTAAGTTTTAGAGACAGCGAGAGACAAAAATAAAGTTAATTTTAGTTACATTTCATGAGTCCCACCTAGTTCAACATACTGATTTTACATGAAAAGTTTCCTATTTAAAAGCCGCCACCCCCTGCCTTTCACCAGATTTGTCGGGTAATTAAAACTTGACCTGATTTCCAATCAGGAGGAAAATAAATATCCCATTTCCTACCTTAATCCCTTTTCTTTAGTGGCACTCCTGCTAAGAGCAGTATTTCGTCCAGAACTAGGTTCTGATTTCTCTTCTGTGGGAGATCCAAATCCAGCACTAAAATGATAACTACTTTTTCTTGTCATTTGGAAAAAACCACAACCAATTTAAATCACACGGGAAATAGCAATGCATTTCATTTGCAAACAAGGCATTTTATAATTTATAAGGCATTTTTACTTCTTTTATATGCTTTACTTTCACCATTACAAAGCACGCATCAGGCATTATTCTGTCTACAGATAAGTTTGCTCACAGACACGCAGTCATGTGCTCAAGATCTCGCTGTAGGTTCACAGCAGACAGAATTTCAAATCAGGTTTCCTGGCTCCCTTTCCAGAATCTTTTCTACAGCAATTTAAAACAGCAATTATGAAATTATATTACTATCATAAGAATAAAGTTGCCAAAATCTAAAAATTTAATTTTTTTTTACTCCCAAATTAAGGGGAAAATTATTTGAGTATAGATAAAAGATCATTTTTTTTTACCTGGCCTTTTCTTTACTTGCTCTTCTTAAAGAAGATGAAGAAGAAACAGTTCGTCCATAACCAATGTCTGAGGATTTATCTTCCGTAGATGGAGGTGGAGAACTAAAATTTTATATATTTGAAGTTATAGACAAACTAAAATAATTTATTTGTCAATATTGGCTTTGTCCTACAAAACAGATTTTTCTCCTGGAAAACCATATTTGGAGCTAACATTCAATAGTGACATATTAATTAAAAAGCATAAAGGAAAGGTTAAGATAAGACAAAAAGAATATTATGAAGTTTTTCATGAGCTAGAATAGGAAGCATTTTATAAAGTGTGTCATATAAAATGTATTATATACATATATAGATATATGTGACCATTTTAAAGAAGATTGTTGAAGCTTTAATTTTTAGCTTTACTGTTTATTATATAAAAAAACATTGGGCAGTAGCTGTACACCTGCATACAGTTCTGGGGAATTGTAAACATAATTCATCGTGGTTTGCTCTTATCTATTTATACTTTCTTCACTTAGTTCATGTTACCAGAGCACTGATTGCTAAAATACATATGGAATTGACTGGTAACATTCAGTCAAAGGAAAAATCATGGTGGTGGTTATTCCATGGTCTTTACTATGTCAGGCTCTGAGTTTATGTACTAGTGTTTATTTTCATGGTGGTGCTAGATATACAGGGGGAAAGAAAGATACCATACTGAGAATCTTTATGTAGTCATATGATGATGGACAATCAGAAATAGTATGCCTGCCCCTGCATCCCTTCTCCCTCCAAAGACTCACACATCCGAAGATTTACTGTTAACTAAGATTACAGCACGTAGACCACTTGGTTCTTGTAAGCAGAGATCCTTCAAAGGCAAAAGTTTGGCGCCAGGATTTATCTGTAGATAATTTAAAGATTGAAAAGTAATATCTGCATGGGTTATATATTTTAATACAAGTACTGAAAGAATATGATCTCAACTGTTTGGGGTGTTTAATTTCACACAAACACACACACACACACACACACACACACACACAGCAACAGGAACCTGGAGCTTGAGGACATCTCACCTTTGGGCAGGATATCACTCCTGTTCATCTCTATTGGCATTATACTCAGCTGTTTCACACCATAATTACTAGTTTGGCCCCTGAAAGTATTTGCGTTTACAAATCTATATACATAGGGAGAATTTACTGTCTGTAAGAGGAACTAATTACTAAACAGATTACTAAAACTGTTGTGAGGACATCTGAAAATAGGCTAGACAAGGCCCTATACTAGCAATTTTACCAGCGTGATGAAGACAAGGTTAGACCAAATCACCTTCTGAGAGCTTTTCCCAATCATATTATAGTTAGATCCCTCTTATATCCAAATTTCATTTTATGATCTTTTTAAAATAAGATGGATCATGTCATTCTTTGGCCCAGAAACTGCCAAGGTTTTCAACTTCTTTGAATAAAGGCCAAAATCTACAAGACTTACATGATCGGATCTCTCTTTACCTCCCTGATTTAGTCTCCACTATTCTGCCTCTGGGTTCACTCAGCTCTAGCTATACTGACTTTGTTGTTTCTTAAATATGCAAAGCACATTTACACCCCATGGCTTCTGCACTGATTCCTCTGCCTAGAAAGCTCTTCCCCCAGATAGCCCCATGGCTAAGTCCTGCACCTTCTTCATGTTTTTGCTCAGGTATTACCTCTCAGTGAGGCCTCCCTGATCAC